GGAGCCCCGAGGCCTGGGCAGCACGGAGCCCCGAGGCCTGGCAGACGTTGCATAAGGCCGGGGTCGGGTGGAGGGGACCGGGGGGCGCTGGCCGGGCTGCAGGCCCGCGGCCCAGGCCGAGAGCTGGCACCGAGGGGCACTGACAAGCTGCTTCTGTTGCGTTGCAGGGCTCAGGATGGACTTTCTGACACTCTTCTTGATTTACTTGTGCTTTGTTCTCACTACTACTGGTCTGCTCTGCCTCTGCTCGGGAAGGAAGGAGGGCTTCCTCGCATGGGGTGTCAGCGGTGCAAGCCAGGTAAAGAACCGACCTCTCAGAGTAATGATCAGCTCCCGTCGTCGTCAGGCCTAGCTTGTTGTCCCAAAATTAGTGCAACTGCTGTGTTTCTCCTTCCTAAGACATGCTAGTTAGAGTGATTATACGGTTTAGTTATATTTTGGGCAGGGGTGTGGATCTGCCTGAGGGCAGGAAAGCTTTTCAGAGGGAACGGGGACAGGCTGGATCCATGGGCCGAGGCCACCGTGTGAGGGTCAACAAGGCCAAGTGCTGGGTCCTGCATTTGGACCACAACAACCCCCAGCAGCGCTCCAGGGAGGGTTTAGATTGGATGTTAGGAAAAATTCTTCACAGAAAGAGCTGTTGGGCATTGGAAGGGGCTGCCCAGGGAGGCGGTGGAGTCACCATCCCTGGAGGGATTTAAGGGGCATTTAGATGTGGTGCTCAGGGACATGGTTTAGGGTGGACTTGGCAGTGCTGGGTAAATGGTTGGACTTGATGATCTTAAAGGTCTTTTCCAACCTAAGCGATTCTATGATTTCATCCTGTTTTGGCAACTGCTCTCCAGTCAGTGCTCTCTGGGGTTGGAAGCAGAAATAGGCTTCCTTTCGGCTGCCCAAGCAGGCAGTAAAACACCATTTGCGCCTTGCAGCCCTGCGTGTGCCAGCCTGGCTGGCTGCAGTCACCGTGGGCAGCAGTGAGCATGGAGCTTCTCACGAGGCTGCAAGGACCTTGTTTGGTGACACCGTAACACGTCACCTTTGAGAAGTGAAATTAATGAGGCCCCAGCATTTGCAGTCGTATGGTATTTGCTGCTTGCATTAAGAGGAAGAAGGTGGGGGGAGGTTTGGGAATTGAAATAGAGAATTAGAACTGGTAGCACATTTTTTAGGAGAAGCTCTTTAGTGTGAGTCTGTAATAAGGCTGCAGACTGTTGTTTCCTAGGAAGGGGGGAGGAATGAAGAGCTTTATAAGAGGATTAAGAATTGGCATTTTATTGTAAAAACAGGGAATGAATTGAAAAGGCACGAGATTATTTTTATGTCTGGGCTGTGCCTGAATGAAGAAGGAAGAAAAAAAGGGGTAGCATTCTTGGAAGGGTAAGGATAAGAGAATTATCATTCAAATTGTGACTCATACTTCATGCTGTTTACACCAGGCTGAACAGACTTTCATTTTTGTTACTACTGTTATGCTTCCTTTGATTTTGCTGTGCAGACACGCAGATCACTGTGCAGAGAGTTTGTTATTTTCCCACCTTTTCAATAGCTATTTCTATGAAACGTGTAACCATCAGCCGCTGAATTACTGCGGTGATGCAAAGTCACCCTCTGGAGAACTGTAATCAATACTTTTACACGTGAAATAAATACAGATAATCCTAAACAGTTTCTCTAGACACTGCATTTTAAATGAATTTCTGACTAATTGATGCAGTGTATAAGCCTGGGGTCTGTTGAAATGGTTTGACTGCTCCCCTGTGGGACCCTTTATTCATTGTGAGCGATGTGAAATGATGAACTTGCACAGAGCACAGCTGTTTCTAGCTCGGTGGCCAGTCAGCTTCCACCCCCTCTGTCCGTCCTCCTTGCTGCCGCGGTTGTATCCGTTGCACTGGTCTCCTCGTTCCCTCATCGCTGCGAGCACAAAGCGTATCTGGAAGAGCCGTTTGCCTTGGTGTAAGGAGCGGCTGAGATCCTTTCTAGTTATGTTCCCTGCTGCAGTGCACAGCCTCTTCTTCACCAAGACTTGTCACTTGAGCTGCTGGTACGAGGCATGCCAATTAAAAGAAAAATATTTAACATCTTCTCAACTCTCCATATGCTTTTTGCCTTCTGGTCTTTCACATCTGAGACAAGAAGCTCTCGCTGCATATTTTCATTCCGTGTCAGCTAGAAATAGGCTCGCCTGCTCTAATTCCTGCAGCACCGAAGGAGCAGCGCGTTGCTATAGAGATCCGCCGCCTGCTGCACGGCAGAGTCCGGCAGTTCCGCCGTCGCAGGCTGTTGCTCAGGGTGTCACCGGTTGAAGACCGGCAGTTTTCTTCACGGTGTTTGGCTGGTTTTGAAGCGGCTGTTAGGTAGACATGGAGTTACCAGACTGGATCGTAGCTGTAGCTGAAGAAACTGGGGATTTTTTGGTTTTGGTGGGGTTTGTGTGGGTTTTGGTTGGGTTGTGGGGTTTTTTTTTCCTTTTTCTGGAGGGTAGCAGGCTTTATCCCTTCCCTTCTCTCCGCTTGCATCTGTCAGATGTCCTGGTGAAGCATATTGTAGTTCAGAAATGGCTCAGTTCTATCCCCTGCTTAACCAGTTACCCAGACTATAACCCGCCATAAGCTCCTTAGAACTTTCACATGTTAACCCAGATACGTTTGTGCCTGTTGGGCTCCTGAGAACATGGAACCTCACGCCAGCTTTGAAAACCCCAGCACCATGCCTGCCTGTATTCTTGGGAGCTCAGATGCCCCTGAAAATGCGCTTCCTGCCCAGTGGTGTGGCTACAGTGATGTGTAACTGAGGGGTTGGGTGAAGTGGGTTTGTTTGCACGTTTCCCAAGGCAGAAGCGGTGTGCAGTTCAACTAACACAGTGTTTTCATCTGCTTCAGGTACTGTCACTTGTAATCCCCACACAGCTCCAGAGAGCGACCCAGAGGGTGCTTCACAGGCTCTTCCACACCAGGTATTACACTATTTTTTATTTATGCTTTTGACCTTTCACCATCAGTTTTACCCTTAGATCTTCTCTGTTCATTAGGGGTGCTTGTCAGGGATTACAGATTCCCTCCAAGGATTGCCACGCTGTTGTCGTTCTGGTCCTTGCTTGCTGTAGAGACGATGCTACCCTGGAACATTTAACATATTGACAGACAAAGATAATGTGGCTCAGTAGCTCCCAGTGTAACAGATGTTGGTCACACTGGTGGGAGGCCACAGCTGTGTGAGAATGACAACAGACTCTCTGGCAGCTGCAGACTGGGTTTAGACAGAACTAGTGATCCCCCTCCTCTCCCTCCAATCCCATGAGTCTTAGCCTGGATGTCCAGGTGGCTCAAGGGGAAGCTGCACAGCTGCTAGTGTGCCGCCTGCTGCGTTAAGGTGAATTTTGTAGCATCCTGTAAACTTTGGTGCTTTAGGATTTGCTTCGGGAATGATTCAGATCCCTTTCCTCTGGGGGCAGCAACTCCAGTATGACAGACGCTTCAGGGGCGTAACATCTGCAGCTGTTGAGCATGTGCTGCAGTGGATTTGTTGCCTGCTGTGCAGATCCTGTGCTGGTAACACGGCCCAAGGGAGAGTGGTTACGCTGTCAGATGTGCCGTCAGCAGCAGAGCAATTACCCGACGAGCCTGGTCACTGCCGTTGCTGGAGGCACTTTGATCCTCCACGCACACCCTTCGACTGTCACTTCGTTCAGGCAAGAGGGTTTTCAGAAGCCCAGCGAGACACAGGGCTTGAGGGTGTCTTCTTGTAGCCCTGCAGTTGAGAGGAGACTGCAGGATCCTGTGGGATTGCACACGGAAGTGGCAGAGGAGAGAGCAGTAGAGGAGAGCTTGTCTGCAACAGATGTCCCGCTGTAGTAAAATACACATCACTAGTTAGTTCAAACTTGTAGTAGAAGTCCAGCAGACCGGTGTACAATGCAGAGAATTGCGGTAAGAGAGCTTTGCTCGGTCCTCTGAGCACCTATGTGCCAGGCTGCTGAGGGTTGCTGCTCGGTATGATGCATCCGAACCAACCTGCGTGCCAGGCACTTGTGCCACGTGCCCCGCAGAAGCTCTGCGCTGCGGACAGGCTGGGTCTAGTGCTCGCCTCCTGCCACGCTGATTTCCCAACAGCTGCTCAGATTATCACTGGAGGTTTAACATTACCTTTCACTGGGGTTTTCTTTGCTTTCAGAGCAGCACACAGCAACGCCTTCTGGCAGCATGTGTCTGTGCTGTGGCATATTTTGTCAGGGCTGAGGGTGCTTTGTACTTCACTGTTACAAAAACAATCCAAAGGGCATGCCAATAATGGAAGTGAATTTAGCTGGCATATTTAAGGAGTGTATGTGGAAAGAAGAGAAGGAGAAGCCATTGGAAGGAGAAAACACTATTAATATGCAATCCATGCTGGCCTGAAAACCTAAAAGAGGTGTCTCCTTGCATTTGGAAAGTGCTGCTCACCTCTGAGTGTACTTGACCTGTTAATCAGGATGCTGAGTATTAAATAGACTGTCCCCTTTCTGTTACAGGAGCCGTTTGTTTGTTGTCCTGCACATAGCCCTGCAGGCTGCAGTGTATGGGGAGTACACATGGGAAGTGTTTGTTTACTGCTGGGAGCTGCAGTTCCACCTCCTCCTCCTGCTCCTGCCCTACCTGCTGCTGGCTGGGAACGTGGGCTGCTTCATTCTCTGCTCCCGTGCCAATCCTGGTACGTTCATGCTGATGGAGCTGTAGCTGTTGGAAAACGGGACTAAAAAATGTTGCAGGCACCGTTACTTTTGCTGTTTTTCTTGTTTCTTTTGCAGGTATAATAACAAGATCGAATCACGCATCGTTGGTTAAGATTTATCCGTATGACGGTGTGTTATTTCAGAAGGGCACCGTGTGTCCTGTGTGCGGCATGGAGAAGCCAGCCAGATCAAAACACTGCAGTAAGAACCTTCACTTCCTTGATAAGCATGACAGCAGTGCTCTCCCAAGTTAATTCTCCATCAGTAACTGCAGTTCCCACTACATCTTTTGTTATCCAACCTGATGCCCATGGGGTTTTGGTTGTTTTACTGCGGTCCCAGATCACCGCTGCCCCTTGCCCATCCATAGACCTGTGTTGCTGCTTTTTCTTCTTGCAAAAGTTACCGGTTCCGAGAGGTTCGTTCTGGGTCAGGGACAGGCAAGCTTCTGAGCACCTTAGGAGTTCAGTGAAAAATTACCACCTGCCGAGATATGAGTTCAGGATTTTGTGTTGCTCTTACACAATTTGCTGTTCTCATCCAAAATAAAGCTGGGAGCTACAGTCTCTCCCGTTTGTACGCTCTGCTAGGCAGGACTGTCGGAGGTACCTAAGTCTGAGCTTCAGTCGTGGTGAATGAAGAGGAAATGAGCTGTATGTCTTTGTTTTCAGTGTTGGGGTTTTCATGATAGTGCAATTGAAATTAATGTATTGGCTTAAAAAGCTGTCAGCTAAAACATGACCGTAATTCTCTGATTTTCTCAGATGCAAACCCATCCTGAGCTGTGTAAAAATCCCATTGTTTACTTGCATAACTGTCTTCTCACTCCTTCCTCACCAGGTTTCTGCAGCGTCTGCGTACATCGTTTCGATCACCACTGTGTCTGGCTCAACAACTGCATCGGGGCCTTCAATGCAAAGTACTTCTTTCTTTACCTCTTCACGCTGACTGCCATGGCTGCAGCTGTTGCGGTCATCACGGCGGCGTTCCTCGTCCGGGTGGTGCTGCTGTCAAACATGATGCAGGGGAGTTACGTTGACGACCGAGGACAAGAGCGCCCTGTCGAGATGCTCTTTCTCATTCAGGTAGGTGTATGCCGTCTGGATTACCAGCTTATGGAAAGGGTTCTCTCGGTCTTGGCTTGCGGGAATCTTGTAAGTCGACCAGATCTCACAGGCAGGGTGTGGACAGACTGCAGGGGTTTTACCAACGTTATGCAGCTAATTAAGTTTAGAAAACTGCCATTGCAGAATACTGCAAAAATACGGGGTTTTTCTCACAGCACCTCGTTCCGCTCTCCCACTGGGCTTTTCAGCCTGGAGAAGGGAATGCTCCAGGGAGACCTTAGAGCCCCTTCCAGTGCCTGGGGGGGCTACAAGAAAGCTGGGGGTGGGTTTTTCCAAGGGCAGGGAGTGACAGGACAAGGGGTAATGGGTTTAAACAGAAAGAGGGAGATTGAGATGGGACATCGGGAAGGAATTCTTCCCGCAGAGGGTGGGGAGGCCCTGGGACAGGTTGCCCAGAGAAGCTGCGGATGGCCCATCCCTGGAAGTGTCCAAGGCCAGGCTGGATGAGGCTTGGAGCAACCTGGTCTGGTGGAAGGTGTCCCTGCCCATGGCAGGGGGTGGGACTGAGTGGGCTTTAAGGTCCCTCCCCACCCAAACTGTTCTGTGATTCTTTGGATTTCTGTCTCCAGGCTGCTTTCACTCAGCAGATCTGGCTCATAATGACTTTACATTCCAGTGACCATCTACGGTAGCAACATTTAGGAAACAGTTGACAATCCTTGAGGTATCTTCATGGAGATGATAAAGCAGGACCCTACTACCCTGGAATTTAGCTACCTGAATATTATCTGTCACATGCAAGCGAAGGGTGACTTTGAGTCTCTCCAGCACTTGAGTCATTTGCATTCCAGTCCCCTCATCCCTTTCTGCACTGTGGCAGTGAGGCGATAAGCAGTAAATGCGTTATCTTTTCCACATCCTAGACAGCAGATGGTTCAGCCTTGGACTCTTATCAAGGGATCTTGGTCAGGGAATGGTGGTGTGTTTGAGAGGTTAAATTCCGGTATTGGAACTTAACTCAGAAAAGAGCTGCTCAAGCTGTATCATGTCAGCAAAACCTGAAGGTGTACCAGATTGTAGCCTCTTCATTTGGCAGTTTGTTTTCAGTTGATCTGCATTAATCATTTTTATAATTAAAATAAATTACAAAAAAGCCAAACAAGCAACACTCCAGTATGAAATACAAACATTCAGGGGTAGATGGGTGTTAACACTCCAACTCTTTCTCTCAGTTACTATTTTCTTTCTTTGCAGCACCTTTTCTTGACTTTCCCGAGGATCGTCTTCATGCTGGGGTTTGTTGTGCTTCTCACGCTCGTGCTGGGTGCCTACTCCTGCTTCAGCCTGTATTTGGCCTTCACCAACCAGACTTCCAACGAGTGGTCGAAATCCAGGAGACACGGGTGTTCCCGCCATCAAACATTGCAGCCTCACGGCAGTCGAGTTGGCTACAAAAACATTTATTCTAAAGGAATCTGGATGAATTTCAAGGAAATCTTTAAGCCTCCTACGGTGTTGGAAAGAAAGAAGAAAACATGAAGATGTTACATTTTTAAATGTTGCACAAGACTGTTTGGGGCTTTGATGCCCCAAACAACTTGTGTGGAAAGGTGACTGGATTTAAATGAAGTGTTTGGGAAGGACGTTTTCACAAAGCAGTCTGCAGAAATCTGGAGTTATCCCAGTGGTCTGTAACACCGCTCGTACCGGCCGTGGCCCGTTTGTCTTCTCGGAGTCGCAGTGCAGCAGCCAGCAGTAGTAGGGCTGCCCTCAGCTGGAGAACACGTACACAGGGAACTGGGGGTTTTTGGGATGACTGTTCGTATGCTGCATTACACTGCTGTCTGATTGGCAAACCGAGTTCCTGAGTCACTTTGGTACATCTTAAGTAGGTCTTCCTGCAGGATACTTCATGGGAATACAGCGACATCACACATGTGAAAGCGGCCAACATCTGAATGCACGCGCTTGTCAACTATTCCCGGGTTTTTACCCCTGCAGGGAAGTGGTAACTGCGTTCAGCTGGGAGTTACTATCGTCAGCAGTGTTCTGATTAGCAGAGCACTGTTTAAGGTACTGCACTTGGTGAGATCTCCGAGGTTGAGCTTAGTCCTCTTGTTTCCTCGTCAGAGGGACCAGGAGTGAATTTCCTGGCATGGAAAGGTGAGGTGGGTCCATCTCGCTGAAGAGTCCTTTTCTCTGGGTGTGCTTGCAAGGGAGGAGCCATCAAAGCTGCAGTGGAGCTTCACCTTTTTGTGAGTACCCGTTTGGCAAGTGTAACTCTTTACTGTTAACAGTGTGTTGAATAGGTTGCATGTATTTAGCTGGAAAAGGCCACCATTACTAACAGAATCTCACTAGAACCTGCATAAACCCTCTTCTACTGCAAATTTGTAGTAGTGTGGAGCACCTTGATTTCAGAAAGGAAACTACAAGTGCTACTTCTCCCTACCTGCTGTTCTCTTTCGTGATACCTGTTTTCAGTTTGTGGAGAATAAGGTGCTGTTTCAGCCTTAGAGCCATGAAAACCGTGGACCTGGGGACAAAATTTCAGCATCCTGGAAAGGGCATCAGAAATTTGGTATCGAGCTCTGGACATAGAGGTCCTGGCAGGTTCCACATGTAATCCTTCCAGCCTTTCTGATCTTTATCGCGTCGATACATCCGATCACAGCAAGGTCTCGGGCAGCTCTTCGTGGGTTGGGCGCTTGGGGATGGTGTTGAGGCTGTTTCTCAGGCTGCCCACGTGCAGCCACTGAACAGGCCACTTCAAACACAGTCTTCCCCATCCGTACAGGGATTTCCCAGGTGAGCACTGACCAGTGCTTCCCTTGGTGTCCCTCAGAAAACCCCTCCGCCTTAACAGCGGGAGACAAAAGTAAACGTAGAGCTCTGTGATCCCTCTAGCCGGGATCACTTGGAAGATCTCCAAGGCGTAGGTGTGCTGGCTGCTCGGAGGCGTTTGTTTTGGGAGAAAGAGCATGTCTGACTTGCCCAAGGGTGAAGGTTTCCTAAGCACGACATAAGTGGCCCTTTTCTCCTTCTGTTTGCATGATAATCAAGCAGAAATTGCAAAGTTCCATATAGTAAGAACTTTAAATAATTTTATTTTTAGAAATGTGTTTATTTACATGCCGAATCTGTACAATATGCAATTAAAAATCCATATATGTTTTTTAAAAACAAAACAAACCCCATATACAGTATGGCTTTCCACACCAACAGGCCAGCTCTGGGAGCGGCCTGGCTGGCATTGCAAGGGTACAACGGCGCGTTCTCTCGTAGACCAGTACATAAGGCTACTTGTCCAGGGTATAAAAGAAAAGAAAAATACTGCAGTACCATGCCTCAGGAGGACTAAGGTAGTGAGCTTAAAGGCATGAAAGTTTGAGTGGTGGCGAGTGGACACCAGAACTCCTTAGGTTTGGTTTTAAATGCATATGATTAAGTCATCTCCCGTGAGACCCTACGTCCTTGCTTCACTTTCTGATTCCTTTTAAACCTAAACACCAGAACTCTGCTGTCCTGGGGCCAGAGGCAATTGCTTTGCAGAGGACTGATCTTTATTTGAGGCAGCTGCATAGAATACTGAGGCTGTCAAACACGGCCTGTTGATCACTTCCCCAGTATAACCATGCAGAGGTTTTATCTGTTCTCCCCACTTTAAACAGAAACCATCCTGCTGAGCCACTTGCTCACAGCAGCATCTCTCCCTTGCTCTCTGAACAGCTACACTGGCAAACCTAGGGCTGATCAAATTCCCCAAACTGGGGAAAAACAGTAAGTTTTGCATTAACGTCAGCCACTGGGCCCATGCTGTTCGTTACACAATCACAGTCTGAACTTCCACCTCCCCCTCCTGGGAGGCGATCACAAACTCTCCCGCATGTTCCATTATTTCAATGTCCTCGGATGCCACCATCGTCACCGTTGCTTCTTCCGTCTCGATGCTCCCCTCCGTAGTCAGCACTGCTCCTTCTCCGATGGCGGAAGCCAGCGTCATAGCGACCTGCTCCGTCAGGCTCTCGGGCGTCGCGATGGTGATAGTGTCCGCAGCGTCGGTGGCTACTTCGGAGTTCTCTGCCACGGTGACGTTCTGCACAATGATCTGGTGACCGGAGTTTGCTTGATTCACTATTTGTTGCACAACCTTCATAATGTGGCTGTCTACCTACATGGAGAGGAAAGCGGCCACGTTATTGCTCTGCGTACAGGACAGTTACCATCGCCACCAGCCGGGCAGCTCAGCAAGCAGCATTAATTCCAACGTCCTCTCAAGTTCTCATGGCCCCGAGAGCAGCAGACTCCTACAACACAGCGCTCTGACTGCGGGAACCGTTATTTCCAGCCTTCA